GATGCCATAGTCCTTTGCGTATGTATCTACGAAGGCATATAGCTCGTGCCGAGACAACGGCGGGATGCGGAAACCAGCGCGAGGCGAAGGCTCAGACGTTGATCTCCGCTCCCAGTCCGTCTGACAATTGCGTGTGTTATCAAACATGGAGAGCCGCGTGCAGGCGGACGACATGGAGCGGCGGTATATTTGCTTCTAGGAGTGCGGATTACTGGTCGACAGTGCTCGGAACTCCGCTCACAATGCGTGCCAGACCTGCGTACGTCTCTTGCATCTCATTCTTCGCTGAATCCGTCGCTACTGCCCATATGAGCTCGCTGCCGTAGCGCAATTTGGATGCGCCGTATCCGATGATGAACGTGCGTGGGTCATGTGGAGATGGCCCCGCCTCTTTATGCGCAATGCGGCGTGGCTGCGATATCCGTTGCGAGGCGGCCGCCACATTTAGCGTCAGTTGCGGATCGAGATCCATGCCGAGAAGCTTCGCAGTTCGCGATGCCCCCATGGTCATGACTGGGATTTTACATCCAGTCACTTCCAGCGGCCGCTTTCCTTTGCGATCATAGTTTGACTCCGTGTGCGTGGAGAGTGTGAACCAAGCGGCTTTGCACTTTGACGGGATGATGGCCAGGCCACTTTACTGACCCCGCGCGTGCAGTTTTTTGAGGACCGTGTTGGCTGCAGGAATGGTGTCTTCCCGAGAGTGGCCGTTGATTACAATGGAGAGATCGTCCGCGTGCATGTCTGCTGTGACGCCTGGGAAGCCGTTCAGCAGATTGAGAAGTGGGTGTGCGTAAAGGGAGAAGAAAAATGTGTTCCCAATACGGACCCCTGAGGAACTCCTCGCAGCGTGGAAGACCGATCGCCGTGTCTGTTGCCAACTCGTGTCTTCGCGTAGCGGCCACGCAGAAATTTTCCAAGCCACCTTCGGCAGTTCACCCCCGGAATATTGGCCGGCAAGCGACTGAGGACTCGATAGCCAGTGAACTAAAAGGCCTTGCTGGAGTCTACCAGCACCAACGGAGCCCGATGGGGTCTGCAGTGGAGCTGGCTTCCAGCACCGCTCTTCTTGGGAGGGTTCGCTTGGAAGTAATCGGTTCTGTTATGCTCCACTTCATGTATCAGGTGTGCCAGCTGCATCGTCGTGGTACGCATACTACGGCACGCATGCTGGTGCGGACGAGGCGTTTACAGACAAAGCAGTCTCCTCAATGCCATTTTCTCAGCAACCTTACCCACGATGGAGGGAAGGCTGATGGGTCGATATGACTCCGTTAGCGCCGGCGAATTACCGGGTTTCAGGACTGGGACGATGGTGGCTCGTCGCCACTGGACCGGAATTGTGCCGGCTGTCCGGCTGTGGTTGATGCAGCGGAGAGGGAATCGGAGACACTTCGTCGAAAGATGTGGTAGCGCCCCGCTGTAGACTTCGTCCGCTCCGGGGCCTTGCCGTACGGTGTGCTGCGCAGCGCTGCACGCAGTTCCGTACGATTAAAAGAGGCATCCAGAGAGAGGGGAGAGAAGGAACCTATCGAAGATGAGGCGGCCGACTCGTTGTTGTTCTGCGGCCTAAGAAGGGGAGGGAGAAGAAATACACAAGGACTTGTTTTCCCCGTTTTTTCCCGTTGGAAGACCCAATCGCCTTGCGAGGTGGGGAGGAATCCAAGATTGAGCGCATCCGCTGCTCTCCTTGCTGTCCCGAAATTATTCTTGCGGCCATCGTACATCAACGCCGTTGTGGGAGACGGAATTGATGTCTTTTTACGTCCGGAATGTATTTTTTAGGCGAGTGGTTTGCCTGGGTTTAACTTGCTGATGCGACGCCGATATTTGCTGCGCGAGCGCTCACTGAGTAGGAGGAAGAATTGGCTCCTTGCCCGTTGCGTCTCTGTTTCACGGTCGGGCGTCGGTAACTGCAGACAGCGGGCCTTGCTGTCGGTAGCAATCCGCTCTGCCTTCGCAAGGGTGTCGCCCCGGAGCTTGGGATCATCCTTGTGCATGCCGCGGGGTCAATGCCGTCGAAGTGAAACTGCAAGTGCTCTCGTAAAAGCTTTGATGCCGGTTGATTGCTTTTTATGGTCGCATGCTGGAAGTTGTGCGTCGAGGTCGTTGGCGAAGGACTCCCACTTGGACTTCCACCAGCTGTAGAAAACTCGACGTACCGAAGTGGGTGCCGAGGGCATGGTATCCTTAAATGCCTGATGCAGCGTGAATGTCAACACATAGTGGTCACTGAGCGGCGGCACGTTGGCTGTCCAGTCGGACACGGTAAGATGCCTTGACCATGTCCGGTCGATACAGGATCTCTCTCTTGCACCACGAGCATGCTTTGTTTCACCAGGGGTGTTAACCAAGGTGCGTCCTGCATCCGTGCGCGGTTGTATAAAATTCTACAGCGGAGTTGCTTGGAGGGGTCTCCAGGAAGGGCTCCCACCGTGGGCGACGCACGTTGAAATCTCCACACGGAATGAGCGGCGACGAGACCGAGAGGCAGCTCAGCAACCGCCTAGGGGTTGTGTCGGTTGCGGCGGTGGCCTCATATAGGTGCTCGCCACAATAAGATCACGGTTCTGGCCCAGCGCGAATTGGACCACCACTTCGAGACTGGAATCACGTTGAGGAGTGATGAGGGGCATACGCTTGGAGCGGAGGTTTTTCCGCAGCGGCACCGCTGCAACACATTCCTTGCGGATACGTGATTGTGCGTGGAGCACACACTCTCCAGTATGCATGCTGGCGATCTGCTCCGCCGACTTCCAGGTCTCCCGGATGGCTATCATGTCTGCTCCCTGCGCCATTAATGTTGCGAGTTTGGCCGGCGTCAGTGAGGGAACGGTCATCTGGAGTGCTGCTATGGGGCTCGGGCTCCGCTCAACGTCTCCGCCTC